ATGGTTATTGGATTGTTTGAAGTCTTCTGTTCTATTGTGCCATACGAATGCATGCCGGCCCTATTTCAGATCGTATCCTTCTAGTTTTAGGAGTCTCGTGTTTTCCAACGTTATCCACTCCTTAATCCATATCAATGCAGATGCCCTGTAATAGATAGAGAAGCCAATTCGGAAGCCGCATTCCTTCTTTTATTTTTTGCTCTTGTAGATGTTTAATTTTAATTCTGGGTTTTTTTTTCTTCTGCCAGATAAATTTAGATATGCATTTTTCAAGCTCCCTAAATATTATTTGTTTTAAAACAATTGGGATTGTTTGGAAAAGGAATATGAATTTTGGTCGAATGTTCATTTTGATTGTAGCAATTCTACCCATCATTGATAATTGTAGATTTGTCCAACTAGAAAGGTCTTTCTTAATTTCGTCCATCAATTTTAAGTAATTATCTTTCAAAAGAGTGCTTGTTTTCTTTGTAAAGAATATGCCCAAATATTTTCCTTTCCTGAAAATTTGTAATTTGTAATAATTCATCAATCTCCTGTTTATGCATGTTTTAGTCATAATTTGGGAGGGTTTTGTGGTTTATTTTTAACCCTGTCATTTCACCATATTCTTTTAATTCCAAAATCATAGCTTCTGTTGATTCCCTAGGATGTTCAACTACTATGAGCAGGTCAGCTGCAAAGGCCTGTACCTTGAATATTTCTCCTCTGATTTTAAGTCCTTTAATTTCATCCGATATTCGTATCTGATGCACAAGTGCTTCTATTACCGAAACTTCATGCATTGTAAATGGCTGGTTCAGAATATCTTGTTATTTTGATAGCTTGGTGTGGTTTTTTCTTTGGATATATTCTTTCTGCTTCATGAATGGGCATGCATCCTTCTCTATATAATTTTGTATAGAACTTTCCCACTATTTCTCTGAGTTCTCGAGGTCCCGTGACGGGTTCTCCTTTTTGGTTTCTGAGGCTTAAGATATAATTTTTGGTTCTTTCCTTCTTTAGCTTATATGCCAGCCGTCTCCCTATTTTATTGGTGTTTTCGAAATATATTTGTCTTGTATATTTTAATTTGTTTGCTAGGTCTTCAGTTATTAGGGTATTCAATTTATGTTGTATCATCTGTATCTTCTGTTTTAAGTGTGTCGCTGTTGGATTTTGTTTTGATTGTGCCTCCTCTCTCTTCAGTTCTGCCTCTAGTGCTTTGTATTTTTTTATTTCTTTCCCTTCTCCTTGCTGCTGTAATTTTTATGGACACACCT